CTTCCTGAGGGTCATCAGTGACTTTGTCTCCCTCCTGAGGGTCATCAAGGTCTTTGGCTCCCTCCTGAGGGTCATCAGGGACTTTGGCTCCCTCCTGAGGGTCATTAGGGCCTTTGTCTGCTTCGTGAGGGTCATCAGGGCCTTTGTCTCTTCCTGAGGGTCATCAGGGTCTTTGTCCCTTCTTGAGGGTCATCAGGGTCTTTGTCGCCTTCCTGAAGGTCATTATCGGGGTCTTTGTCTCCTTCCTGAGGGTCATCTAGCTCTTTGTCTCCTTACCTGTATTGGCATGATGTAAGCTCTGTGTCATGGCGATAAAATAGATTCTGTTTAACTCCACTCTGCTTTGGAACAAATAACTGTTCTCTATTTTGACAAAAACTCCAGTTTCAACTGGAGTTTGAAGAATTTCTTTGTCCTTCTCAGAGTCAGAGAAACCTGAGGAGCTGAGGGTGGAACAGGAAGGAGACCCACTCCGATAGACCAGGCTAAGGTTCAAAATTTAGATTTGACACATCTGAGACCTTCTGAGGGACATCACAGGAAACAGACTGTTTCACCAGGAGCTCTGCAGACAGGTCACATGATCAGACACCAAGTCACATGATCAGGGACCAGGTCACATGACCCCACAGTGTTTGATGGTGGTAGTTTCTGACGGGAGGTGAGGCGGGTTGCTCTGAAACACACACAGCCTCAGTTCCTGTGTGTGAATTAATCTGTGTGAGTTAATGTGTTCAACACCAGAGGATCGTAGATACCCCCATCCTCACTATTATCATGGTTACCTTGCACCCATCGCACCAAATCCTCCACTGTTGCCATGGATACCCCATCCTACTCTTCTTCAACATAATCATGTTTTTATTTCTGTTCGTTGTTCACTGTCTGAAAACAAACTTCAATTTTTATAATAAAACTGATTAAAAACCACCAAACTGTTTGATTTATTCTGTCTGCTCCGGGGTCCACCAACAGTCAGGACAATGTCGGACCAGTCCATCACCTAAAACTAAGGGTCATGGTGGACCAGTTCATCACCTGAGACTGACTCCTTCCTCCACTCTTACAGGTCATTCTCTGTTCCTCTTTTGGAAACAGGTGTTGACTACAGCCATTTCCATTCTCTTGGTAAAATCCACCACCATCTGTCCTTCCTGGTTTCATTCCTTGACACCAAACCAACCCATCACTTCCTCATCCTCCGTTTCCTTCACCAACATGTCCATTCAGGTCTGCTCCGATCGCCACTCCCTGGGAATATTTTTATCACTTCATTCAGATCTTTCCAAAATTTATCTTTCTCTACGTCACATCCAACCTGTGGAGCATAACCACTGACAACAGGGAGCGTGTGGAATCTGCCCAACAGCAACAACCCGAGGTGCATGTGGCATGGACTACACAGCATCACAGACTACAAGGGAAGGAACAGGTCTGTGGAGCTGTCCAGTGCATCGTTTACGGACAAGCTCAACACCTTCCAGTTTGGTGCAAACAACACCATATACGTCACCAGACCACAGTGAGACGGACGTTCAAGAAGGTAAACCTTTGCAAGGCACCAGGGCCTGATGGCATCCCAGGACGGGTGCTGAGAGTGCGCTGACCAACTCACCAAGGTGTTTACCAACATCTTTAACCTGTCTCTGAGTTGGTGTGTGCCCACCATCTTCAAGACCTCCACACGTCCGCATCCCAAAGACCTTTGCAGCATCCTGCCTTAATGACTCGGCCCATAGCACTCATCTATTATCATGAAGTGCTTTGACAAAATTATCAAGACTCCCATCTATGTCCCTTCCTGACACCTGGCCTGGACCCCCTACAGTTCACATAGTAAACGGGTCTATAGATGCCATTTAGCAGTTCACACCTCCTTCAGCCATCTGGAGAAGGTAAACATCTATGTGAGAATGCTCTTCATTGTCTACAGCTCAGCATTCAGCACCATAATCCCCTCCAAGCTGGTCTCAAGTTCACCACACTGGGCCTGGAGAAGTCATTCTGTTGCTGGATACTGGGCTTCCTCGCCAACAGACCACAGACAGTGTCACCTCTCCTCCACACTGGTACACCTCAGGGCTGTGTCCTCAGTTCAGTCTTGTACTTTCTATTTACACATGACTGTACCACCAAGCACAGCTCTAACATCATCCTCAAGTATGCTGATGACGCCACCATCCTGGGCCTCATCATCAACAACGACGAGAGTGCCTACAGAGACGAGGTGAAATCACTGACCGGCTGGTGTCAGGAAAATAGACTCTGAATGTCAGCAAAACAAAGGAGATGATAGTGGACTTCAGGAAACGACATGGAGGTCAGCACTCCACCATCAACATAAACAATGTTGAGGTGGAGCAGGTCAGCTGTTTCAAGTTCCACGGTGTTCACATTATTGGGGATCTGTCCTGGACTTTACATACAAACACTGTGGTCAAGAAAGCCCAACAAAGACTTTACTTCCTAAGAAGACTAAAGAAGTTTGGTACAAACACCAGCATCCTCACCAACTTTTATAGGTGCACCATTGAGAGCCTGCTGACAGGCTGCATCACAGGATGGTACTGGAACTGCACCAGTCAGTCAGAAAGCTCTACAGAGGGTGGTGCAAACAGCAGAGGACATCACTGGTAGCGGTCTCCAAACCATCCAGGACATCTACCACAGCCAATGTCCGCGGAAAACAGCATCATTAAGGACCACACCCACCCAGCACAAGGACTCTTCTATCTACTTCCCTCAGGCAGACAATACACAAGTCTGTCATTGCATACAAAAAGACTCAAGACTGTTGAACTCTTGATAAATAATACTGAACTATTAACATCAAGCCACATCTGTGATACCTACAGTAATATGACTAATATTAGCTGTGACAGCTAATCTGTTTAGTGCTGCTGCACCTTACCATCACAATTCATCTCAGTGTTACTCACTACCTGTGCAGTATTTATGTTCATTGTTTATCAGGTACATTTAAGCTAATATTACTACTTGTGAAATACTTATTTCTTATACTTATGGGGTGGCTATGGCTGAGTGGTTAGAGCAGTCGTCCTCTAATACAAGAGTCGGGGGTTCGATTCCACCAGCAGTCACATGCCGAAGTGTCCCTGGGCAAGACACCAAACCCCTCACTGTCTCTGATGTGTGTCCCATCAGTGTATGAATGTGATAAAGCTCTGATTAATCTGTGTAGAGATCTAGTATAGAGCTGTATGAATGGGTAAATGATGCCACAGATTGTTGTAAAGAGCTTTGAGTATCTTGATCAGATAGAAAGGAGCTGTACAGTCCATTTACCATTTATACTAATTCATCCTACTTATATTCTACCATGTTGTTGTTTACTATATTTCTTTTGGATCTTGTAAATATATTTCTTTTTCACTTTTGATGTAAATCACATTTTCTGGATGATTGTTTCCTCAGGTATCAGATGCTGTGCAGCTGGAAGGATTTTTACTGAAACTTTTTTTGTTTTGGACATTTGTTATGATGCGTAACCATGGCAACAAGGCAGTTTTCTACAACCAACAGCTGATTAACATCGCAAAAGCTCAAATAATATCTCAGCTACAGCCCCAAATCTTAAATGAGTTGAAAAGGATGTTCTGTGGATGCATTCTCATCTACCTGCCAGCTGTGCTCGAGTGTCTGACCACTGAGATCCTGGAACTAGCAGGAAACACGGCTCATGACAGCAGAAGGACAGGATCGTCCCTCAGCACCTACAGTTGGCTGTCCGCAGTGACGAGGAGCTCGGCAGACTGCTGGGAGGAGTGGCCATCGCGCTGGGAGGAGTTCTGCTCGGCATTAAGGCGGTCCTACAGCCCGGGGGAACCGAGAGGCCAGCCGAGTCTGGGTGACGGATCGGACGGCATCTGCACCCAGTTTCTTAGGATCCACTGTGGGATGGACCTTTACAAGAGATCCTTCCTGTCTACAGCATCAGTATCTATAACATCTCTTAATGAAACGAGGATAACGAGTTACAACAACAAATAATTTCCCTTTGGGATTAATAAAGTATTTTTAAATTGAATTGAATTGAATTGGTACTTTATTTTGTACCCTTATTGCATGCTTTAGTATTTCTTGTTTTTATAGCGAGTCAAATCGGTTCTTCTCATCCTGAACATTCTTTGCATTGTTGACCTTGTGTTAACCTGCATATGACAAATAAACAACATTTAGCATCAGACCTTCTACTTCTACCTTCAGACACATCACCCTATCTGACACTCTTTTCACCTCTACTACATTCTTTACCAACTCCTCCTTCAGGACCACCCCTACTCCATTCCTCTTTCTATCCACACCATGGTAAAACAGTTTGAACCCTGCTCCAGTGCTGCGAGCCTTGCTGCCCTTCCACTTGGTCTCTTGGACACATAAAACATCTACCTTCCTTCTCAGCATCATGTCAGCCAGCTCTCTACCTTTGCCTGTCATTGTCTCCACATTTAGAGTTGCAACCCTCAGTCCTACATTCTTCACTTTCCTCTTCTCCTCTGTCTCCTGACACGTTTCCCTCCTCGTGGTCTTCGACTAACAGTAGCACAATTTCTGCTGACACCCTGTTTGTCAACAGCACCGATGGAGGTCGCTGTTAACCCGGGTTTCGACCGATCCGGTATAATTTCACCTTGATGAACTCGCATTATGGTTTTGGTCAAAGTATTTTATGTCAGATGCCCTTCCTGACACACCATTTACCCGGACTTGGCACCAGAACCAGAGATAGACTGGCTGGTGCCCCCTAGTGGCTGGTTTAATTTAAGTGAAGTGAACGACTCAAAATAAGTAATAATTAGTCGAGCATTAATCAATAACCCTGACTGAAAGAAATCAGCTACTCCTCCAACGTGACCTGTTGTTCTAGGGACATGAACATGGTTTCCCCTTCCCTTAAACCCCCCCCAATCTTTCTATGTTGTTTTCAGACCACCACCTGGACTCCCAGCGGATGGACGACGACTTACGACTAAACATGTCGTCGCTGGTCAGGTTGAAACTTTACTACATGAGCCACACAGTTTTATTTATTTTCCTGTTCAATATCTTAAAATTTTATTGTTTTGTAAACATACAATCACAAACAACTGAAGCATGACATCATACAGCGGGACCATCTGATTGGTTGGCCAGTCTTTAAAGGAAGGTGATTGGTGAGAAACACACATTACATTAACAAAGGGGCGTGTCCACGTGATACAAGAGTGATCGAGTGTTTGTTATTCCGTGCTCATGGTACACAAAGTATCAGAAAACAGAAAGTTGGGATGACTCATTTACTAAATAATTAACTAACTCATCTAAACTAACTCATCTGCTGCTTTTCTAATTAAAACCTAATCAGCTGCAGGCACAAAGGTAACAGAAACATCAGTTGATCAAAAAAAGGTTAAAAGCACACGTTGTCATGGTTACTCAAGCTGCAGTCTGATTGGTTGTACACTATTCTGTTTCCATGACAACAAACAAGGAGACAACAGTTTCCGACCTGTTGTCTGAACTAGTTTGTGTTTCTCTGACCTGGCTTTGATTCAGTTTCAAAACCAGTTCTTGACTTGATTCTGTTCTAATGTTCAACTTTTATTTTTATTTATTATTTTATTGATCTTGTTTCTAATTTCATCTGTGTTGTAGATTTTATCAGTTTTTTGTTTGTTTGTTTGTTTTAAAGTAAAATTTCCAGGTTGTGAACAGTATTTGAGGACACAACAAGGGTTAACTGGTTTCTGTTGTCTCTTTGTCCCTGAACTGTTCGTTTTTATTTGTTACAAATAAAAATACAAACTCCCCCAAAACAAATAAATTCCCTGTCCAGCTTCATAAACCCTTTACTGACAGGTTGCATGATGCGTTCACTGACATTTCATGAAACGTTGACTTAATGTGTCATATCTTCACCTACCTGCTTCATGATGCGTTCACTGACCAGATTCATGATTCGTTTATGCATCCAGACAGTTAACGTATTACAAACCTAGTTAGTGAAGGCGTCACGGACCTGGCTGATAAACAGTTTTTTAAGGTTTTAATAAGGAAACAAAGTAAAACAACCAAGGATCAAAGGTTTGAGTAAAGAAACGAGGATGGAACATCAAAACAGAGAAACTGAGGACGGTGCAGCTTTAACTAAATCGTGTTACTGAGTTCATTAGTCGTTGATTCGTAGCTTGAAGGACACTCGTCCTGCAAACTTGTCCCTCTCACTTCCGGCCAGCAGAGTGTTGGAGATCACTTTACACTCCATGTTGATGTCGGTGTTCAGCGTGGCGTTCAGGAACTTTATGGCCACTAGAGGCTGAGTGTAGTTCACCTGAGATACAGAAGAAATCACCCGTCAGTTAGACTTGCATTCAGGCCCAAAAGAATCCGATTCGACCCGGTTCCAGCCCGTAGTCATCATTTCTGAACCCCACCCGCCCCAAATTCATGTCAGGTGGGGTCAGCTTAAGGCTCGGGTTAGAAATGACATCTCTATCGTGGATACAGGAGGTTGAAATGAAAATAGTCCATGCTCAATAATCCAGGTATACAATCCAACAATTTTCAGTCAGGTCATCTGGACAGTTTCTTTTTTTGCTGAAACGTTTCATCTTTCATCCAGAAGGCTTCATCAGTCAAGAAAACACACAACACAAAACTGATTCTTCCCCTTAGCACCAACATAACTGGTTTGTTCCACTTTGGAGTAAGCTGTTTGGGGGAAGAATCAGTTTTGTGTTGTGTGTTTCCTTGACTGATGAAGCCTTCTGGATGAAAGGTGAAACGTTTCAGCAAAAAAAGAAACTGTCCACATGACCTGACTGAAAATTGTTGAGGTTGAAATGAGTTTCCTCTGCAGGGTAGCTGGACTCTCCCTTAGAGATAAGGTGAGAAGTTCAGTTATCAGGAGAGACTCGGAGTAGAACCGCTGCTCCTCCACATCGAAAGGAGCCAGTTGAGGTGCTTCGGGCATAACCGACAGGGAGGAGACCCTGGGGAAGACCCAGGACACGCTGGAGAGACTATGCCTCTCGGTTGGTCTGGGAACACCTTGGAGTCCTCCCAGAAGAGCTGGAAGAGGCTGTGGAGAGAGATGTCTGGACCTCCCTGCTCAAGATGCTGCCCCTGAGACCGGACTTTGGAATAAGAGGAAGAGGATGGATGTACAATTTATAACGTATGGGGATGTTTTTGCACAGTGCCCTGAGATGACTTTAGTTGTTAATTGGCATTATATAAATTAAATTAAATTCAGTTTATTTATAAAGCGCCAAATCACAACAAAGTTGTCTCAGGGCACTTTACAGGAACATTCACATAAAAAACAATTAGTAAAGTTCTCTATCTAAGGAATCCAGCAGACAAGTTGAATCTTGGCTTCGTTGCAGTCTCCCATCCTGAGCAAGCACAATGGAGACAGTGGAAAGAAAAACTCCCTTTAACAGGAAGAAACCTCCAGCAGAACCAGCTCAGGACAAGAGACCATCTGCTTTGACCTTTGAGAGGACAGGAAGGAGAGACAGACGAACACAGAATGGTAGGTCCATTCTATAAACCTGTATGGTCTGAAGACAGCAATGAGTTTGATGTCCCTCATCCGGATGTGGATTACTGAGGCCTCATCCTGTAGCCAGGCCTGGAGGAGGAGCTGATTGGCAAGCACCTGGCGACCCTGGCCTCTACCCAAGGGGCCCAGTCGGACTCAGCTTGAATGAGTTAAATAGTTTTGCCTCGCTGTCGGGTGCATGGTGAGCTTAAGGAAGGGGCCTTTGTGCTCTGGCTTAAGAAAACTGGCTCTTGGGACATGAAATGTGACCTCTCTGGTGAGGAATGAACCTGTGGTTGTACGTGTGGTTGAGAGGTACCAATGAAATGTAGTCGGCCTCACCTGGACACACTACATGGCTTTGGAACCAGTCTTCCTGAGAGTGGCTGGACCTTATTCCACTTTGAAGTTGCCCATGATAAGAGGCATTGGGCTAGTGTGGGCCTACTTATAGCACCCAGCTTGGCGTCTGTGTGTTGGAATTTTTCCCTGTAGACGAGGAGGTAGTTTCCCTGTGCCTTTGGGTGCGGGGTATAGACTCCGACTTTTGTTTGTGCCAATGAGCCAAACATCAGTTTGGAGTACCCAGCCTTCTTGGAGTCCTTAGCGGTGGTGGTGCTGGAAGCAGGGTGCTGCTATTCTGCTGGGGCACTTCAAGCTGAAGAAGTCCTATCAGACCTTGTTAGCTGGTAGGGCTCCAGAGGCAGCTGAGAGGTATAAGCATATTGGAGTTCAGTATAGACTTTTGATTGGTATTATAAAGCATGTGGCAAACCATCAGTCTGAGCTGGGGAAGAAGGACTTTACCAACACTGTGTATGATGAAGGTGGGGTGCTGTAGACCTTAACCAGTAATGTCATCAGATGGTAGGAGAAATATGTCAAGGACCTTCTCAGTCCCATCAGCACATCTTTCATGGAGGAAGCTGGATCGAGGTCATTGGGTTTTGTCCGGTTGGCATGGTGCCATGACCTCCAGCTCTTAATGGAGCGGTTCACTGCCGACTGGGAAAAGGATCAGCGCCTTCAAATCTGAGACCATGGTCCTCACAAATAAAAGAGTGGACTGCCCTGGGCCTTCTTGCTCAAGCTGCTGCCCCTGCGACATGACTTCAGACCAAGATGAAGATTATGGATGGACGGATAAATAAACTGACATGGATTGAATTGTATACTGAGTTACCTGAGCTTTTTTTCCGTAGTATGGGTAGTACATCAGGTTAAAGGTTCCATTCATGGGATAATAATCCAGAGGTCCAATCTTCTCACTGTCTTCTTTCTGCACACAAACACACTGATCAATACCTCTGACCCGATCAGAGATCAGTGCAGAACATCACGATGTTCTCTATGCTGAGCTTCTGTTTTTATTTGATTATCTTCCAGGATAGGGAAGCGAAGTACAGAGGTTAGTTGGCAAATGGAAAGGTGAAGCACCCGCTCTGGACCCCTGAACAAGGCCCTTAACCTTAAGTAACCCCCCGCCCCGCAATCTGCTCCCCCGAGTGCCCTTGAAAGCACCCTCCACACAGAGGACTGTGGTAGCTCAGTGGTCTGTGGTTGCATCAGGAAGTGTATCTTTGTACAAGTTAGTTTTTTGTGGCGACCCCTGACAAAGGGAGCAGCTGGAAAAAAAAAATCTTCAGTGGTTCCCATTAGGGGGCCTGACTTCTTTAGGTGGTGGTAAAGAGCTCATGGGGACGAGTCTTTAATTACACACAGTCTGTATTTCTTGCATAAAAGTAGTAATTTATTATACAACTAAACCAGCCAAACTAAACCAGAGTTCATCTAAGTGACACCATACCAGATCGGTCGAAACCCGGGTTAACAACGATCGCCACTGGTGCTGTTGACAAACAGGATGCCAGCAGAAATTGTGCTACTGTTAGTTGAAGACCACGAGGAGGGAAACGTGTCAGGAGACAGAGAAGAGGAAAGTGAAGAATGTAGGACTGAGGGTTGCAACTCTAAATGTGGGGACAATGACAGGCAAAGGTAGAGAGCTGGCTGACATGATGCTGAGAAGGAAGGTAGATGTTTTATGTGTCCAAGAGACCAAGTGGAAGGGCAGCAAGGCTCACAGCATTGGAGCAGGGTTCAAACAGTTTTACCATGGTGTGGATAGAAAGAGAAATGGAGTAGGGGTGATCCTGAAGGAGGAGTTGGTAAAGAATGTAGTAGAGGTGAAGAGAGTGTCAGATAGAGTGATGTGTCTGAAGGTAGAAGTAGAAGGTCTGATGCTAAACATCTTCAGTGGTTATGCTCCACAGGTTGGATGTGATGAGGAGAAAGATACATTTTGTAAAGATCTGGATGAAATGATAGAGAGTATTCCCAGGGAGGAGACAGTGGTGATGGGAGCAGACCTGAATGGATATTTTGGTGAAGGAAACAGAGGATGAGGAAGTGATGGGTAGGTTTGGTGTCAAGGAAAGAAACCAGGAAGGACAGATGGTGGTGGATTTCACCAAGAGAATGGAAATGGCTGTAGTCAACACCTATTTCCAAAAGAGGGAGGAGCATAGAGTGACCTATAAGAGTGGAGGAAGGAGTACGCAGGTCGACTACATTCTGTGTAGTCTGGTGATGGACCGACTAACAGATGAGGTCAGGCAAGAATCCCCGTGGACGATGATGTTTGCAGATGACATTGTGATCTGTGGTGAGAACAGGGAACAGGTGGAAGAGAACTTGGGGAGGTGGAGGTATGCAAGACAGAGTACGTGTGTGAATGAGAGGGAGGAGGTGAAACAGTGAGGCTACAAGGAGCAGAGGTCACAAAGGTGCAGGACTTCAAGGACTTGGGGTCCACGGTCCAGGAACATGGGGAGTGTGATGAAGAGGAGAAGAAGAGAGTCCAGGCAGGATGGAGTGATGGAGAAAAGTTTCAGGAGTGATTTGTGACAAAAGGGTGTCAGCAAAGGTCAAAGAAAAAGTTTACAAGACAGTGGTGAGAGCAGCTATGTTGTATGTTCTGGAGACAGAGACATGGACAAAAAGACAGGAGACAGAACTGGAAGTGGCAGAAATGAAGATGTTGAGGTTCTTCTTAGGAGAGATAAGGATGGAGAAGATCAGGAATGAGATCATCAGAGGTACAGCACAGGTTGAACAACTGGGAGATAAAGTTAGAGAGGACACACTGAGAGGGTTTGGACATGTCCAGAGGAGGGACAGTGGTTTGGACATGTTCAGAGGAGGGACAGTGGTTTGGACATGTCCAGAGGAGGGACAGTGGTTTGGACATGTCCAGAGGAGGGACAGTGGTTTGGACATGTCCAGAAGAGGGACAGTGTTATATACCATACCAGCTTTCTTTATAGAGCACTTTAAATACTGATAGGACCAAAGTGCTGTACACATAATAAAACAATCATAATCAATAAAATAATAAATCAAATAATTGAAAGTCAACAATCACAGATGGTGTCAAAGCTCATGGAGAAGAGACGGGTTTCAAGAAGGTATTTAAGACAGATAATGAAGAGGCTTGTGTGATGTCCAAGCAGCCAGTGCAGCCAGGCTAAACCAGCAGATGTGGTCAAACTTCCAGTTAAAGGCGTGCAGCAGCATCCTGCACCCTCTGAAGGTGACACTGATTCCTTTATAAAGTGCGTTACAGTAATCCAGCCGAGTGGTCACAAAGGCCTGGATTACTGTTTCGAAATGCTGTTGAAAAATAATCTGCTTTACTTTGGCCAGCTGCCTCAAATGGAAAAAACAACAAAAAACTAGATTTAACAACTGCTCTGATGTGACTTTCTAATTTTAGTCCAGCAGCGACTTTGACCCTTAAGTTTGTACCAGTTGGCCTGAAGTACTGGGCCAAGGAACCAACATCGACCAACATATGTTGATAGAAGGATGTTAGAGATGCAGCAAAGAGGAGATGTAGGGCTGCACCGACTGCAGTTTTCTGGCCGATTTCTAAGAAGTCTGACCTGCCGATTCCGATTTAGTTTTATAAGCGACACTGTCGGGTGTTAAAGGTCACAATGCACCTTCAACTTTCAGTCTTATTTTATTGAAAACATGCCCTTGAACAACATCCTAGAAACAATGCAAACTTTTTTAACTGGCCATGAGGTAGAGCTCTGAAATATAAATGAAGTTCAGACAATTGTTGTTAAAACTAAAAAAAAATCGGTAAAATCGGTTTCTCGTGCAAGTATCGGCCGATTTCCGATTTCCCAAAATTAAGGAAATCGGGGCCGATAAATCAGTGCACCCTTAGAGATATATGGATGCAGTTAGAGAGGACATGGAGGTAGTTGGAGTGAGGACAGAGGACACAGGACAGATGAAGGAGGACTCGCTGTGGAGACATCTGAAGAGGGAAAAGCCGAAAGAAGAAGAAGAATTTATTCTGCAACACTTAATGTGTTTCCATGTTTTCTGTTCTACTTTCAGCGTTGACCCTACGTGTCCTTTGTGGAAAATAAGGATTGTTGAAAATGTTAAGACGAGGACGTGTCCTGATTTAAACAAGCCACAGCTCAGGGTTAGAGAGATGATTGACAGGGAGGTGTCATGCAGATACAGCGTGCAGCAGTAACTGACGTCGAGCTTTGACAGCAAACTGAGTTTGGGAAGCGCTGATCAGAAAATCATGAACTGCTTTTAGGTTTATTAGTTTTTGTTCCACAGCTCCTACCGACTCATCGGTGTCCAGGTTGTAGAGCTGAAGACTGATGCATAATGTAAAGATGGACACATGTGGACAAGATATAAGACAAAGACAGACTCAGACATGTGGACAGACTGAATGGCTGTTCTGGCAGATGTAAAGAGACTGACTCGGACCTTGGCTCCACAGGTGACATAAGGAGACTGTCCATCTTTCCCAGGTAGCATCCCGATCACCTGCGGACAGACAAACAAGGTAAGACGTCTCAGACTGATGCTTCTCTGCAGCATCCCCATCAGGAAACATCTAAACTACCAACTGTAATACAGTTGTGAAAAAAGAAAGTCAGTTTTCCTTCAGTCCTAGAGTTTTACACACCAGGACTTCATACGACTGGTCTGGAAGTTTATCCCATTATATGGGAGTGAAAAATCAGTTCCAGTCCCTGATCCAGCAGTTTGTACAACCTCCTTTTGCACCAGTAACTCTCAGTACTGGTTACCTGTTGGACTTTATCAATCTCTCACGTGGCTGTGGAAGAATTTTGTCTCGCTCTTTTTTCCATCATTGCTTCACTGAAGTTTCTGCTCAGGTCTCCAAAGGTCTCACCACAGCAACACTTCAGTCAGGTTGAGGTTCTGGACTCTGACTGGACTGTTGCAACTCCTTGGACCTGGTCTTTCTGACCCATTCTGCTGTAGATCAGTGGCTGTGTTTGAGATCATGGTCCTGTTGGACCAGTTTTACCATTATTCAAGGAGGGAGCTCCGCCCTGTCAACAGAACAGACAGGCCAGACTGAGATGTTTGGACATGTCCAGAGGAGGGACAGTGGTTTGGACATGTCCAGAGGAGGGACAGTGATTTGGACATGTCCAGAGGATTTAGAATCTGGTAGAGACCAGGTCCGTTTTGATTAAATCCTGATACGTGAGACTCTAGGACCAGGTCTGTGGTAGCTCAGTCCTAAGCACCGTGGTCACGTAACCCTGAGGTTGCGAGTTCGAGCCCAGTTTGCATCTTTAAGGTGATCTGGTGTGAACAAAGCCAAATCTTTCATGTGAGTTCACTTGCAGTGGTGACCCCTGCAGGACGGAGCAGCTGAAAGAAAAGCAACAACAAAAGAAGAACGTTCTTCTTCCTGTGACTAATGGTCACACGTCCTGCTGGCGGTGTTCAGTCTGTAGACTGTGTGAGGTCAGAGGTCAACATACCCGGTTCAGTTTGAGAAGGATGCAGGGCTGGCCTCTGCTGTAACCATAGAAACGGTCCGCCATCCCAGAACACTCCCCCAACATGGTGCGGTTGAACTGACAGGAGCGCTTGGGATTGTTCCTCACCTTCAGAAGAACAGAAACAGGCTCGGGTAGGAGGAGGTGACACACCTGAGAGTTCAGGTACACAGTAAATACTTATAATACCTGTGTGTGTGTGTGTGTGTGTGTGTGTGTGTGTGTGTGTGCACCTTTGCATGTGTTACTTTGAAAGGCCCATTTATTTTACCACCACATGCTTTACTGTGAGACTCACTGTCAGGGAAATATTTAAGTAAAGGTCATGGAGTTTATCAGTAACTGATGTTAAATGAATGAGTTGGAGAGTTGTTTTGCCTGAACAGAGAGGAGCCTGCAGGTGCTCGGACCCTGTGCACCTGCAGGCTCCAAGGTCTTCGCAGACTGAGGTCATCACTGTGTGACAGTCATTATTAACAGCACTTCTTTAAATGGTCCGTGGCAGACCTCACAACTGGAGCTTCAACGTAACATCTGTGTAAGCGTGTGCGTGAACTCTGACCCCTGCATGTAAACCACATAAAATCTTCTCGTGTCCTCAGTGTCTCTTATTTTCAATAAGTAGATGATGAAACCCTCAACACCCTCAGCACTGGCTCTCCTCAGGGCTGTGTGCTGAGCCCCCTCCTGTTTACTCTGCTCACGTATGATTGTGCAGCTACTCATCCAGGCTGTCACATTGTAAAGTTTGCAGATGATACAGATGTGGTGGGATGCATCACAAACAATGATGAGTCCAGCTACAGGCAGGAGGTGGAACACCTGGAGAGCTGGTGCCGGAAGAACAACCTTCAAATCAATGTGAAGAAGACGAAGGAGATGGTCGTGGACTTCAGAAGGAACAAACACACCTACACCACCTAAACTTAGGAGGATCTGGGGTGGAAGTGGTCTCCAGCTACAAGTACTTGGGTGTGCACCTGAACAACAACCTCAGCTGGAGCAACAACACCACCAGCCTGATGAAGAAAGCTCATCAGAGACTCCACTTCCTCAGGCAGCTGAGACGAGCTGGTCTGAGAAGCTCTAACACACAGAGAGCAGACAACGAGGTGTTTCCACCGACTGAAAGCCAAAACCATCGCCAGCGAAAACAAGATTGAAGATTTTAACGGTGGACCATCGTGGCGTCTCAGATTCATGATCAGTGACTTTTCCTGGTATAGGTACTGTTTTTATTTATTAATTTTATTTTTTAACCAGCCGTGTTACCGGAACTGTTCAAAAAACAAACAAACAAACATTTACTGTACGTATTTGTGTTACCGGTGCATATTTAATTAAAAGTGTAAAAAATCTTTCTGTGTACATATTTCATGTTACAACATGGACACCCGTGGTTTATAGATGTACAAACTTTTATATTTTAATTTAGTGGGCGTGGCTTTTACTCAGGTGCACTCAGTAGCCCTGAAATTATAGTAGGTGATGTCAAATATCTGAGTTTTCCTCCCAAGTGATGTTAGGCTGGAGGAGGATGGACAGTAATGAGGGTGTTGCTACGGTCAGCCGTAGTAAAAGAGTTGAGTAGAAAGGCAAAGCTGCTGATCTTCTGGTCCGTTTACGTTCTAAACCTCAGCTATGGTCATGAGTTATAATAAAAAGAACCAGATCCTGGATCCAAGCAGCTGAAATGAGCTTCCTTCATAGGGTGGGGGGTCTCAACCTTAGAGACTGGGTTGGAGCTTCGAC